AATCCTGGATTATGAAATATTAGTTCTCTTCCTTAGCTGTGTTCTAACAGAAGAACAAATACGTGGCTCTTGTCTCAGGAGACCAAGCGATTGATGCTTGGGTGACTGCAGGAGGGAAGAGCCTGTTGCTGTGTTGTGGTGTGTTGTGCCCAGCTTTAAGTATCTGCTGCCAGGTAGGACAGGAGGCTTATCTTGGTCTGTCCCAATACTTTGTTTTGCTCTTTGAATTTTTTTCTTCTTTTAGACAAAGTCTTTAAAAAAAAAAACACCCAACAAACCCTTTCTCTTTTCCTTGCACTGTATTTGCAAGCAGACACCCCTGTTAAGGGTTTTTGCAATTAAAAACATCACATTTGTGTGTCCAGGTTTTGTTGAGAGCAGGGGCTTGCAAAAAATAAGCTTGAAGTTGGATTTAAAAATTTCTTTCTATCTCTGCATGCAGAGATTGTTGCCTCCTGTTGAAACAAATATATTTTATTGTTCGTGACATGCAAAGTGCTTTTGGTTTTTTGTGTTGGTTGTGTTGCTGTAGTCCTCCAGTTTGGACAGATGCAGAATTGGTCGTGCTCATCACTTGCATCTCCCTCCTCTCTTGTGTTTCCTTGTGCCATCCTGCAGCTGACCTGAGCTGGTCTGATGTCCCCACATTTTTGAGAGTGAGGCAGCTGGGATGGCCACTGCAGCCTGATGCTAAAGTCACTGTTCACTATAATCTTGTAAAGCTGTACTTAAAATAATGCCAGTTCAAATGCAGTCTGCTTTTAAAAACAATTTTTAATAAAGCTTTCCCTTTGCACTGTGGAACTTCTCTTCATGCATTCATGCTCTGCTCAGACAACTGGTTTGCAAGGTGGATCTATCAAAATACCTTATTTACCTTATGTTCCTAATTTCAATCTGAGCTTGACTGTGAACTCCTTGTACATGATGGTGAGCAACAGCCAAGTGCTGTCAAACTCAGCTCTTTGCTAAATAAAGGGAGTTTATCCTGTCATTTCTCTTTTCCCCTTTATGTAATCAACTTTTATGGTGTACTTGATTTTCTGCTGTCTCCACTCTACTTGAGGGTGATCCAGAGCAGATACTGTTGCTTCCCTTCCTCCTGTAATCAGCAATTTGAGGGGAGGAGCTGGTCACTGCTCTGCCCTTGGTGCTGTGGTGGCTGCAGTACCTATGCTGCACAAACAGATTGGGGTTTCTGGAACTGTGGCTAGTCCAGGAGATGCCAGACTGGTTCCTTGAAAGATCTTCACTTGTGAATGCTGAGTGTGGCTGGAAGGTAACTATGACTGGGTGTAGGGAGGAGGTGGAATACACCTACCTCAGAGCCCATTGTCAAGTGAATTGTTTTTTGTGTTGGTTTTTTTTTTTTTCACCCCTATCTGCAGGGACTCTCCAGTGAAGCTCCCTAAAGTGAAAGCAGAGTTGCCTGCCCTACAGCCTGGCCTGGTGCTGCCCAGCAGGTGCAACCACCTCTGCCCCAAGAAGTCCAGTCCACATGCTCCTGCCCATACCTGCGGATGAGTTCAGCAGATGTTTCAATCATGCTTTAAGCTGTCAACCAGAAAACCCAGGTTTCAATAATCACTTTGAATCTTGACTTAGGTCTATTTTTGTTTCCTTAGGTAGCTTTTTACTCATTGCTAATCCCTAAAGTACAGCTTTTCCATGTGTGTTTTGATGGCAAGATAGAGTCACTGTGTTAACATTTCTCAAGTTAGAGAAGAGCTGAACTCAATTCAGATTCTACGTGTGTTGGTTTTACATTTTAGTAGTAGGTTGCTAAGTGGCCTTAAATTATCTGGATTCATACCTGCTGTCCTGGTTTGGGCCCAGCACAACAAAGGAACAGCCACATGGCCTCTCACTCAGCTCCCCTCCTCACACACACACACTGTGGAATGGGGAGGACAAACCCAACCAGAAGCTCATTGATCAAAACAAAGGACAAGGAGGGTTCTTCACTGATTAAGGTCCCAGGCAAAACAGACTCAACTTGGGGAAAAATAATAATTTAATTTCACACTAATCAATGCCCTCAGGACACAGACACACACAGGGCAGGGCTCACACACGTTACCCCCCCTCCCTTCTTCCCATCCAAATCCCTTTGTTCCCCATTTCTCTCCCTCCTTCCCCCCAGCAGCACAGGGGGATGGGGTTTGGAGTCAGTTCACAGGCTGGTGGTTCCTGCTGCTCCTTCCTCCTCAGGAGGAAGGATTCCTCACAGTCCTGCCCTGCTCCCCACGGGTCCCTCCC